CTCAGATGCTATAGCAAAGGACAAAGTAACAGTGGATTTAATAAAATAAGAGGATTAATTCTTCCTCTCATAGAAGTCTGAGCTGGTGTGTGACCTAGGGGTGGTAGATGGCTCTGTTTCTTGAGATTGTGTAGGATGCAGACACCTCATATTTTCTTCAGCTAATATCCTTTAGGGTCAATATGACCCACCACCAACTTCCGACTGGCAGGAAGATGGAAAGGGGAAAGTAGGAGAAAACAGCTTGCTTCTAAGGGCATGACTTGGGAGTTGCAGATATCACGTCTCTTTGCATTGCATGTTAGGCAGCCTTATGTCACGGTGACCAAAGTACTTGGCCAGAACAACTTAGAGGAGGGAAGGTTTGTTTTGAGCTTATGGTTTCAGAGGTTTGATTCATGGTCGGCTGAATCCATTGCTGTGGGCAGAGGTGAGGCAGAGCATCATGGCAGAAGGGTGTGGCTGAGCAAAGCTGCTTACCTTATTAGGGCAGTCATGAAGCAGAGAGAGGGGGAAGCACAAGGGACAAAATATAAATCCCAAAGTCACGCCTCCTGTGGCCAATTTCTTCCAGGCACACCGTACCTGCCTAAGGTACCACCTGGTACACTTATCTTTTCCAATTAGGTGACAGTTCTTATAATCTAATCATTTCACTCCTGAATATTCCTGCATAAACCAGGAGCTTTTGGGGGACCACAACACATTGTATTGGCAAGCAATTGGCTGCTTGGCCCCACCTCCTGGAGGTTCTACCACCTCCCAATAGTGCCACCAGCTGGAGACCAAGCCTTCAAAATATGAACTTTTGGAGGATGTGTACGATATAAAACTATAACAATTATTAAGCTTCCTATCTACATTAATTCCCAGTGACTATCATCCCTTTTAAGAACGAGCTTCAGCAGTATACACTTGGAATCCCAGCAGCTTAGGAGGCTGAGGCAGGAGGATCATGAGTTCAAAGCCAGCTTCAGCAAATTAGTGAGATCCTAAGCAACTCAGTGAGACCCTGTCTCTAAATTAAATATATATAAATATATATATATAAAAGGCTGGGGATGTGACTCAGTGGTTAAGCACCCCTGGGTTCAATCCCTGGTACCAAAAAAAAAAGAAAAAAAAAGCTTCAAGGTAACCATGAGGCTGAGGCCTAATTAGCACAAGTCCATGGGCAGTTTGAATGTGGCTCCATGTGGATATGGTTCATTTGACCAGGTCTTACTTTGCCTCTTCCAATTTATGCACTGACCTGGGCAAAGAGGACAGTGTGGCTTCCTGGGAAGAATGCTGGATTAGGGTGCTGGTCTCGTTCTGTGACCAACAGAGTCATCTTTAACCAGCATCAATCACATGCCTGGAAGGTTGGCCCTGGCCCATCCCACTGAATTGCAGAATGGCATTGTGAAATAGGAAGTTTTTATCTATATTTTATAGAAGACAAAACTGAGGCTCAGAAAGCAGAGTGTCCCAAGGTTATATTGCTTGTGAGAGGTAGGACTGGAATTCAAAGCCGGGTCTTCTGACCCCAACACAGAACTCTTTCTTCTAAAGCAGATGGCCCCACAGGCCACATCACTGCTGGGCGAGACGGATCTGGAGTCAGGCTCATCACCCGTTGTGTAGATGATGAGTAGCACCTCTACTTGGAGCCCTTCAGCTTAGCTCGTGACTTTTATGACTCTCTATTTTTGAGAAAGAGCCCAGCCCCAATCCTGGAGGTTGGATCCCCTGCACTGGTCCTACCCACACATCTGCTTTTTGATGGGCCCTCTCTGAACTTTATTTTTCTTTTCCTTTTTCCTTCCTTCCTTCCTTCCTTCCTTCCTTCCTTCCTTCCTTCCTTCCTTCCTTCCTTCCTTCCTTCTTTCCTTCCTTCGATTAATTTTCTTCTCTTTTCAAAATGACCAAAGGAATAAATGCTCATAAATTTCAAATATAAAGAAGGGTCTAAGACAAGCTGTGCCCGTTTCCTCTGTCCTCTAGATGCTCTTTCCAGTTCCCTTCCCAGAGGTAACCCCTCTTAGCAGCCTGATGACTTCAGGTGTTTTTTGTCTGTGGGTTTATTTCTGTCTAGATTTTAAAAAGTAAAAATGACAGTGTGTAGGTTGTTCTGTACTTTTTTTTTTTTACTTAACAATACACTGTATTTTTTTCTATATTGGTATATAAAAATGATCTCATTCTTGCTGGTGGACACATATCGGACTGGCTGAGTATTTGACTTGGGTCCTGCGTATGTTTTGGTGTTGTGTGAGTTTTTAATAGTCTGCACTTGGGAGTACCAGCAACCCCATCCTGAACTCTGGATCTATTACGTATTAGCTGAGTGATCTGCCTCAGTTTCTCCATCTATACTGTGGGGTTAATAATAATAACCTCATAGGATGCTAGGCAAGCTAGATGAGTGAACACACGTAACACAATTCGAGTAGAGTTGGGGTTTATATCATATGAGAGCTACGTGAGGATTAGCTATTATTTTTATTTTTATTTTTTATTTTATTTTTTTTAGAGAGTGAGAGAGGAGAGAGAGAGAGAATTTTTTTAAATATTTATTTTATTTTTTTTTTAGTTCTCGGCGGACACAACATCTTTGTTGGTATGTGGTGCTGAGGATCGAACCCAGGCCGCATGCATGCCAGGCGAGCGCGCTACCGCTTGAGCCACATCCCCAGCCCTAGCTATTATTTTTAAATATCTAGACACTATTTTATAATAGGTTTGGTCTCCTGTTACTTGCCATTTAAGTTGTGATTTTTTTTTCCTAAAACACTGCTGTGCTCAGTACACATTTTCGTATACTTTTGTATACATGTGGAAGTGTCTCTGTGCAGTACATTTCTTGCAGCAGCATTAGTGGGTCTGAGGATTTTCAGTGGTGATATGAGCAGGTGGTCGCTGCCTGACCATGCTTTTCTTGGTTTGCTCACATCTGCTCACCTAATAAGAGCGGTTGGGCATTCTGCCATCCTCCTGTCCTCCACGGGGCCAAAGGTTGGCAGAGGTACATAGCAGTGAGCATTCCCCTTTGTCTTCCCAGGGCCTGGCCCTTTGTGGTAATTCACTAGAAGGGAAAGCTATTGGGATTCTGAATTGTTACTTTATATAAAGTATGGTGTCCAGGGGACAGATGACTGACCACACTTTGGATCAGAAGCCACATGCTCATTGTGAGGCTGAGCATGAGATAGCACAAGTGGTGGAGGAAATGGATTTTTTTTTTTCAGTAGAAACACTACTTTGCTTTTTTTCTTTCCACATTTTTTGTTGGCGCATTATAGTTGCACATAATGACGGGGTTTGTTATTGCATATTCGTACATGTACACAATATAACAAATATCATTTGGCCAGCACCACCCCCAGCGCTTCCCCTTCCCCTCTCCTCCCACCTCTGATCCCTTTTCTCTACTGATCTCCCTTTGATTTTCATGAGATTTCCACACCCAACATTTTTTCTTTTTCCCTCTCTAGCTTCCACATGTGAGAAAACAAAAAACAAAAAACACATGATCCTTGACTTTCTGAGTTAGGCTTATTTTGTTCAACATAATGGTCTCTGGTTCCATCCATTTTCCTGCAAATGACATTGTTTCATTTTTTTTTTTTTTTTTAAAGAGAGAGAGAGAGAGAGAGAGAGAGAGAGAGAGAGAGAGAGAGAGAGAGAGAGAGAGAGAATTTTTAATATTTATTTTTTAGTTTTCGGCAGACACAACATCTTTGCTTGTATGTGGTGCTGAGGATCGAACCCAGGCCGCATGCATGCCAGGCGAGCACACTACCGCTTGAGCCACATCCCCGTTTCATTTTTTTTAATTGCTGAATAAAACTACATTGTGTATATACACTATATTTTCTTTATCCATTTGTGCATTGGTGGATACCTATGCTGGTTCCATAGTTTGGAATTAGCTGTTAATTCCACAATTCACAATTGTAAATTGTGCTGCTATAAACATAGGTATGCGTATTTATCTATAGCATGATGACTTTAATTTTTTAGGATAACTTCTAAGGAGTAATATAGATGAGTCCTATGGTGGTTCCTTCTTCTAAGGAAAACTCCACACTGATTTCCACAGTGGTTGTACTAAAGTACAATCTCACCAAAGTGTAAAATCGTCCCCTTTTCTCTACATCCTTTCCAGCATTTATTATTATTTGTATTCTTGATGACTGCCAATCTAATTAGAGTGAAATGAAATCTCAGTAGTTTTGATTTGCATTTACCTGATTGCTAATGATGTTGAACATTTTTTCATATATTTGTTGGCCATTTGTACTTCTTTTGAGAAGTGTCTGTTTAATTCATTTGCCTTAATTGGGTAATTTGTTTTATTGGTGTTAAGTTTTCTGAGATTTGATATATTCTGGATATTAATCCTCTGTTAGAAGAGTAGCTAGCAAAAGATTTCTCCCATTCTGTAGGTTCTCTCTTGTCATTCCTAATTGTTTCCTTTGTTGTGCAGAAACTTTTTAACTTGATGGCATCCCATTTATTATTGGTATTATTTCTTGAGGTTTAAGAGGTCCTATTGAGAAAGTCGTTGCCTGTGCCTATACGCTGAAGTGTTGATTCTATGTTTTCTCCTGGTGGTTGCAGAGTTTCTGGTCTAATTCCCATGTCTTTGATCCATTTGAGTTGATTTTTGTGCAGGGTGGGATAAGGGTCTAGTTTCCTTTTTCTACATATGGATTACTAGTCTTCCCAGCATCAATTTTTTTTAAAAGTTGTCTTTTCTTCAGGGTATATTTCTGGCATCGTTGTGCAGGATCAGAGGACTGTAGATGTGTGGGTTTGTTTCTGTGTCTTCTATTATGTATTATTGGTCTATGTGACTGTTTTTTTAAAAAAATAATTAATTTATTTTAATTAGGTAGATATGACAGCAGAATGCATTTTGATTCATTGCAGCACAACTTTACATTTCTATGGTTGTACACCATGTAGGTCACACCTTATGTGCAGTCATACATGGACCAAGGGTAATGATGTCCATCTCATTCCACCATCTTTCCTGCCCCCATGCACCCTCTACATGTCTGCTTTTATGGCATGGGACTTTTTAACTTGACCATCGTGTCTTCATTGAGTGACGTAGGGTAGGTGTGGATGTGAGGAATCGCTGGATGCAGGGATCAAGTGAAACTCTGAAAACCAGGAAACAAAGCTGTCTTATGCAATGTAGCGGTCATTTTGTCTTGATCTTTCTGAAACAGCAGGGGTTGAGTGATAAATGTGATGATCTGGCTTGACTAAATGTTGGTCATTTATTTGCCATTAATTAATACTTATTGAGATAGGAGTACAGAATGACCAGGACGGGATTGCTATCTTGGGAAACCTTGCAGATGTTTTAAGAGGACTTGAAGATCCTTTATTTTTTCAAGATCACTAGGAGTGATGATGATAATAGTGCAAATTGGGGCTAAGCTCTACTCTGGATCTGAGGCTGGGGAATGGATATGAAAGGGAAAACTGGGGTCCCTTTGTGAAGAAATGGGTGAGGAGGCTTTTCTGTACAAAATATTAGAAATTAAAAGTCACATTTTATGATTAGCAAAGACATATATTCAGTAAAGACAATTTAGAAAACTATAAAGGAAATTAAACATCACCTATAGCTTTTTCATTCAGAGACAACCACTGTGAAAATTAAATGCATTTATGTTTGATCACATTTATACATAGGTACATTTTAAAAGCAAAATTGGGAAGTTGCACTTTATATACCACTTTGCGACTTACCTTTTCCCTTAAGTTGTATTAGGAACACTCTGCATAACTTTGATTATTATCTAATAACATGATATGTGAGGAATTATGGCATTCAGTTACAGAGATTATTATAATCTATTTGGTCAGTTTGATGAGTATCTAGACTTTTGTTTCTTTCCAAGTTTTTGCTCTTATACATTGTCCTACAATGAATATCATAAGTTTTTATTAATATTTCTATGCATTCCTCACTGTTTTTTTTTTTAAAATAGAGTCCCAGAAACAGAGGTACTGGGTGAAATATTGTGAAACTTTCAAAACTTTTATTACCAAATTATTCTTCAGAAGGCTTGTGCCATGTGATATTTTCAGCAGGAGCGTAAGAGAATGACAATGTCCCTGCATCCTCATTGACACCATATGTTGCTATTTTAAAGATTGTTTTACCAGTATTTTTTTTTTTCTGGTAGAAATAACATGCAATGCTGGGTCTCTTACTGGGTATCAGGATCTGGGATTTGAGGCCTGAGGATTTCAGATGCTACTTTTTGCTCCACATGCTATGTTGAGTGACAGGTATAAAAGTGCTTTGTCAACTATAGTGAGCTACACAAGTGGGGCAATATTACTGTGATTGCCAGATTGAGAGTTAGGTTTCTGCTGGGATGTAGTTGGGACAGTAGGAGGGCTGAAAATTTGTGTAAAGTTATTGATCCATTACATATTGGGTGTGTGACAATCTTAGTTCAGCTGCTGTAACAAAAATCCCATAGACTAGGTGACTTAAACAACAGGCCTCCCCCCACCTCCATAATCCAAGAGGCTGAGAAGTCCAAAGTCCAGGTGCTGTGAATTTGGTTCCTGGTAAGGACATATATCCTGGTTTGCAGAGACCCCTTTTTTTCTATACAGAGGACAGAGATCTTCTCTTTCCTGTCTCCTATAAGGGCACTGACCCCATTTTTGAGGATCCCACCATCATGATTTAATTACTTCCCAAAGACTTCCCCTTCAAATAACATCATATTGGAAATTAGGTCTTTAACATATGAATTTGGGGAAACTAGACATTCAGTTCATTGTAGTAATCTTGGGAAATTTATTTAACATCCACAACCTTACTTTCTTCATTTGTAGGTGGAAAAATACTGCATGCTCAGAGTTGTTGTGAAAATGGCAGCATTAATGTTAGGTGTATGCACCTAACAGGCCTCAATCAATCAAAGACAGACATCAGTTATACAAGGGGTCATTCCACAACTGCCAGAAGTGGATACTATGGAGTTAGAAGGTTTTTGTGCTTAAAAGCAAGAGTGGAGTCCACTGAATCCTGAGTATTTATCACCATCCTGCTCACAAAGCACAGAGAACAGCATGATTTCTGATTCTGTGCTCATTTTAGAATCCTGCCCGGGACCACCATGTAAAAAATTTCTTCCTGGATCTTCCTTCAGGTCTTACCTCTGATGGGAATTGAAACTCTGTGTCCAGCCCCCTTCCTGTTCTCGCTGTCCACTCGCCTTGCATGCATTACTTCATGGTTTCCAGACTCCTTGACCAGCATCGGCGACAGATGCGCTTTCCCTCCTTGAGTCTGCTCTGCGGGCTGCCCTCTTCCCCTCATCATTTCTTATTTCTCACCGTGAAAATCGGGAAAATCTCTCCTTTCTCTTTTTATGGCTTCCCGAGACCTGAAAATAGATGCAATTTAAATTCAGTAATTATGACGACAGTGAAATGACTTTTGTGAAATGCAGAGTTTAGCATTCAGAGCTTTCCTGCTGTGGAAATCCAACTCTCTCTTTGCCTTCATTCTGTGGCTGTTGCCGTGGGGGGCGACGAGTCCCTCCCAGACCTGGCTGCCAAGCTCCATGGGACAGCCAACTCTTCCACATAGGGGCAGGCCACTGCTTTCACTTGGGTGCTGGGGAGGGTCAGCCAAAGTTACACTGGGCTCTGCAGACCTTTCTAAGCCTCAGGGGACTCTCTGCCCTTCCATAATGCATGCCCTTGGATGGTAGCACCTGGTGGTATTAGGTGCCTGGAATCAGGGGTGGAGGTCGAAGGGAGTGAGATTTCTTCTCTGCCAATGACTAGACAGTCACCTTCTGCAAGCTGTTTGTGGCAATCTTTTCCTCTATCCTTGAAGCAGGGCCTTCCAGAGACTTCACTGTCTCTGTTATAAAGTGCTTTGAGCTCTCCAAAGGACTGCAGTGAGTGTGTTAGTGTGGATTAAAATCCTACTTTCCTGGCACACATCTAAGCCATCCCTTAAACAACTGGCTCTAATTCACAGTGGAAAAAAGATCTGCTTAGACCTGATTTCAGATGGAGGACCTGGGAGCCACATAATACCGAGCCCATCTCCTGCCCGGTACCATCTGCTCTCCTTAGAGAGATGGAGCAGCCACAGTACAGGGAGGAGGGGCCTGCAGGTGCAGGGAAGGAAGCCTGCCCGCCTGCGAGCCCTTCAGAGGCTTTGCTTTTTAGTTTGTTTAGTTTTGTTTTTGTCTGGTAGGCTCAAAGAGAGACTGACTGTCCTACTTTCCACAAGAACAATCACTCACTCCAACATTTTAAGCAATTAAGTCCCCGGGGGTGGGTGGGGGGGACGGGACCTCATTGGAGAGGGCTTGTAATGGCTCCTTGACCACATGCTGTGCCTGTCAATTTATAACAGCAATATTACAGAATTGGGAGCCAAAGTTGGAGCGCACAGCCATTGCTTAAAGTCGAACGGATGATTCCTGGGGACAGCGATCTTTACCGGACCCCCCCGGCATTTGTTCAATCTGGAGAGAGTCTGTCTGCCAGGTTCCTGCTTCTACATTACAGGATGAGCCAGGCCATTCATTGCCCCCTGCACTGGGGAAGTGGTATTAATTCTTCTGAGAGTCAGAGGAGCTCAGGAGAGTATGATCAAGGTTCTGCTGGTGATCGGAGCCACCTTGGGGATGTGTCTTCATTTATGGAAATATCTCTCTTTTGCCGTTCTGGGGGATGCCCACCTAATCCACAATGTAGTACCATGAAGAGTTCCTTTTGGAGATATCATTTCACATTATGGGGGAAAGGCAGGTGAAATAACTATAGCCTCAGACCTGAAATTTAAAATGACTGTATCTTTCCTCCCTGTCCCCAATACCTCTTACCAAACTCCTTTTGCCTCCCTTCCAATAGTTGGCTTGTGTATCGTATCCTGGCAGTGGATTTCTTCTCAAATGTCAACTGACATCAGGACATTTTTATGGAGGTCTTTTGCATTTTATTGGGTGGCTTGAATATGGAAAGCTGCAGAGTGAAGTTCAGATGTATTCAAGAGTCAGCTTCACCCATGTGCACCCATGTGCATCGTTTGGGGTGGTGTAATGGATATTTTTTTTAAAAAACTCTTTTAGTTGTAGTTGGACACAATATTTATTTCATTTTATTTTATTATTTTTTTTTGTAGTGCTAAGGTTCAAACTCAGCGTCTCAGATGTGCTAGGTGAGCACTCTACTGCTGAGCCACACCCCAGCCTCATGTAATGGATATTAAGAGGTTCTGGACCACCTGGTCCACCTTGGCCTAGCACTGGAATTCACAAAGCTGCCAAAGCACCGAGCTTGTTGGGTGGTGCATCCAACCATGACCCTGAACACCAAATCAACCTAATGAGAATTAGACAATGAGAATCTAGGGGAAGGGGTAGATCTCTACCAAATCGACGGAGAGGGAAACCCCATTGTTATTGTTTGAATCTGGAATGTCCCCCCAAAGTTCATGTGTCCAAGACTTGGTCCCCAGTGCTGCGATGGAGCTTTGGGGAAGGGATTGAATCATGAGGGCGCCAACCTCATCAGTGGATTAATTCATTTGATGGATTAATAATTTGAATGGAATACTGTGAGGAGGTGGAAACCATAGACAGGTGGGGCATGGCTGGAGGAAGGAGGTCACTGGGCCATAACCTGGGGAATGATATATTGTCCCTGATCTTTTCCTCTGTCTCTCTCTCTGCTCTTTAACACCAAGAGCTGGGCCACTTTCCTGTGCCACACCCTTCTGCCTCACCTTGGGCACAGAGGAATGAAACTGGCTGACCGTGGACTGAAATCTCTAAAACCATGAGCCCCCACTGAACCTTTCCTTCAGATATTTTGGTTGCAGTGATGGAGGGTGACTAACATGCTCATACAGTGGTTGGTCACGGTTGTGTCGTAGTTAAGGACTGTGGCAAATAATCCCAGGCCATGGATGTCCTTGAAGGAACACTTAAAAGGAAAGAAATGAACAATTAAAAAATTTGGCTGTCAAAAAAAGAAATGGAAGCAGCAAACTCTCAACTGGTGGAAAGAGGATTTAAGCTGGTGGAAGGGGTAAGGGGTCACACAGCAGGCAGCTTCTCAGAGACATATATCAACTCCTATGGTGTGATTTCCATGGAATTTGTCTTTTTTGTCTTTCTTTTCTTTTGACCAGAGACCCCAGATTATATGGCTCCTCACAAGCTCTGTGGGGCAGAGGGGAAACCATTCATAGGCAGGTAGGAAATAAGACAGCGGTTTTTCCTAGAGTACTGAGTGCCTCAAGCCAACGGGTCTGTTGGGTTAAAAAGTAAATCGGTCACTTGGTTCTGTTCATGTAGTTCAGCTGAGCAATTCCATAGAAACAAAGGAACTGCTTGTGCTTCTAAACCAACAGTTTCCAGGATGGTGGGGTTGGCGGGCACCTCTCCATCTGCGTGCCCCCGAAGTTTGATGACAGGGGTGATTTAAGCCGATTTTTTAATGAAATTTTGCCTTGGAGTGTGGGAAGAGGTTGAAGACTGAATGAAAGTGCTTTCCTCTGTTCTCAAGCCTGGGAGCAAACTGGGGCTGTGTTGGGAGCAGAGTCAGCCGTGACCATGCTGTGGCATTGCCACATTGAACAGATAAAAGTACAGGATGCCTAGCTAAGTTTGAATTTCTGTTAAATAACAAATACTTTGTAGTATGAATATGTCCTTCTGGTATTTGGGACATTTATAAAAAATATTGTGTGCCTGAGTTCAAGTTTAATTCGAGGGTATTGTTTTATCTGGCAGACTATTACCATCCTGACTGTTTGCAATTTCTTGTATAAGTTGCTAAAGAAATATTTGTTAAAAAGGTAAAATCATAACCATCAGAAAAATATTAAATGAACATGTATCCAAAGATTTTTTTTAACTCACTGATTAATGAGAGAACCAGTAAGATGACATAACTGGTTCAAATATGTGTGCATACACACCACACCACACACACACACACACACACACACACACACACACACACAAAGACAATTAGGAAATGCTGAACTAAATTTGTTAAGACATGTAAAACTAGATATAGTCACAGGCAATAATTAGTTGCATTTCACTAGGAAAAATTAGCTTGTATTTCTAAGGACAAAAATCATTTGCATTACTCTTAGCTTTCTACAACTTGAAATAGTTGAAAAATAGGTCAAAGACAATGAAAGGCACAGAAAACCATATAAGATGCATTAGAACATTTAGTAATCATTTTTTTGCCATTTTAAAGTCTTTGACAAATTTCCTGATGTGTCATGCTCTTTGCTGCCTCAGGGCCTTGGCACATGATGGCTTCTCTATCCCTTCAGTTGATTTGTATTGCCCTTCATATCTTACCTCAAACATCACTACCTCTGGAAGCCCTCCTTCACCTTCAATCTAGGTCAGGGTTTTGTGTTATAAATTCTCATAGGATGATGTTTATTTCATTAGAGCATTTATGTGAATTAATAATTCATGCTTCCCACTGAGGTCTATAAGTCCTTGCATGATCTGGTCTCTGTTGGCAATGGCTTCTTCAACAACTATGCTCCAGCCAACTTTTCTACTTTTTATTCCTGGACCATAAATTTCACTTCAGGAATTTTGTACCTGTTCTTTCCAGTACCTGGAATGTTTTTCTCTTGGCTTTGCTTGATGTATCTCTTTTCATTCCTCAGTTCTCAGTTTGAATATCAGAAAGGCCTCTTCTGATCTCTTAGGTAAATATGCTCCTTCCTGTTGGGCACAGTGGCGCATGCCTGTAATTCCGGTGGCTGAGGAGGCTGAGCAGGAGGATCATGCATTCAAAGCCAGCCTCAGAAAAGAGAGGCACCAAGCAACTAAGTGAGATCCTGTCTCTAAATAAAATACAAAATAGCGCTGGGGATATGCTCAGAGGTGGACTTGAGTCCAGTCTCTAGTACCAAAAAAAAAAAGAAAAAAAAGAAAAAGAAAAAGCTCCTTCCCACCCCCCACTTTCTTTTAAAAAAACTTTAGTCACATAATAACTGTACATATTTATGGGATACAGTATTATAATTTAATACATGAATATAATGCATGATGATCTAATCAGGGATAATTATCATTTTTTGCTCCTTAAACCTTTGTCATTTCTTTGTGTTGGGAACCTTTGAATTCACCTCTTCTAGCTCTTTATTCAACATCTAATAAGATGTAAACTGCAGTCATCACACTGTGTGGTAGAACATGAGGGCTACTCCTGCAGTTTGGAACCTGTTACACTACAACTTCTATCCCTCTCCCCTCTCTAGCCTCTAGTGACCACTCTTCTACTCTCTGTTTCTTTGAAATCAACTTTTTAATTGTCCCACATGAGTGGAAACATGCAATATTTGTATTTCTGTGCCTGGATCATTTAACTTGACATATTGTCCTTGGGTTACACCCATGCTGCTACAAAAAAAACAGGATTTCCTTCTTTTTTAACAACAGAAAAATACTTCACTTTGAATAGCACCACACTGTCTTTGTCCACTCATCTGTCGATGGACACTTTGATTATTCCACATCTTTGCAACTGTGAATAGTGCCACAAGAAACATGGGAATGCAGGTATCTCTTTGATACATCAATTTCATTTCCTTTGGATGAATACCTGGTCACGGGATAGCTGAATCATATGGTAGTTCTATTTTGAAGAACCTCTGTACTGTTCTCCATAGTGACTGTGATGATTTGCATTCCCACTAATAGTGTATATGGGTTTCCTTCCCTGCATCTGAACCAGCATTTGGTATTTTTTGTTTTTCAATTAGGCCCATTGTAACCGGGGTGAGATAATATCTCATTGTTTTGGTTTTCATTTCCTAGATGATTAGTGATACTGAGCATTTTTTCATGTACTTGTTGGCCATTTGTATATCCTCTTTTGAGATATGTCTATTCTACCCCAAAGCATTTGCCCATTTAAAAATAGGGTTGTTTCTACCTTTTTGCTGTTGAGTTGTGTGAGTTCCATATTCACCTTGGAAATCAGGCCCTTGCTGGATGAAGTCTGCACGTGTTTCTCGAGTTGTGCTGGTTTTCTC